TGTGTGTCGTCGTCGTCGTAGTATATATATATATATATATATATATATATATATATATATATATATATATATATATATATATATAGATATATATATATATATATATATATTGTTGCTGGAAAAGACAAAGGTGCTTATTTTTATGATTTTTGGAATCGCAGTATCCCATGATTTTTTTTTACACATTTGTGTCTTTTTGGTTCGTATGTATTGCCACATATTTAGATGTTCAGGTATAACTCTTTGGGTTTGACCACTACAGTATGTGAATTTCCTATGATTTGACTTTGTGATGACATGTTTTTTTTCGGACGAAGGCTATGTGTATATGTGAATAGCTCTCAATGTATAAGTAGGTGGGCCAATTTGAACGTACGGACTGATTAACGTAGGCTAAGATTCAAATAAACGCGATCTTGTATATACTAACAATTGGGACGTGTTTCATCTGAGTATACTTTGTTAGCTTTGTGTGGTGTAAATTTTGTAGCGCTGGTTTCTTACGTCGAAAGATGGGAAGGACACGAAGGCGTCACAAAATTCAATTCTTTGTTCATCACTTTAATTAGTATATTTATACACTGTTTGTATGATAATATGTAAACATAACTTCGGAAATCAGAAATGTGAACTTTTTCTGCTTTCTCGTAAAATTTACAATATACTGAAGCATCAGCTGCTCCGGGATCCAGCAATTAAGGATCGATCTATATCGCTGAAGCACTGCAAAAGCAACTTCTGAATATTCGAACGACCTTGTACTATTTCTTTGAGCTTTTGTGAAGATAATGGCATACAATGTGTAAGAAGAACAATCTCTGCACAAGGTCAGCTATGCTAACTGAAAAGATCGGCGTTGTATCTCGTACTCGAATTTCAATTCGCACTAAATAATAGGAATGCGAAGAGTTTTACTCATCCTGTAAGGCATTGTCTGAGCTCTCTGTCTTCTCAGCCTCTTCATCGTCATCATCCGCACCATGATTCTTCACCATGGTGGCAACAACCCATGTCGGTGGTACAAACACAACTGCCCAAATAATGCATATGACCATTTGCCATTTGTATAGCATACCCTGCCATTCGAGAATCCAGGAGATGCACGCACCGAATGACTGCACAACCTTGTAATAACCGGCATGACGTGCAAGAGCGCGTGGTATATTGGCAATAGCTCCCATAATCCATTACGCATAAGTCTGCACAATAGAGTCAGCGAGACCCATACACTTGTAGAGAGCTGCCGGGATCCAATATTCGCTGCCATCCTTATAATTTAGAAGGGGGTCAGGCTGATTTCCCTTATCATAACCATATGAGAACTGATACAATGAAAAGATGTTGAGAAGAATGTTTCTTTGGATACATCTATTTTTATTTTATTATTAAATTCACTTGGTGCACGACCATTTTGTTTTTGGGGGGTTTTTTACCATATTTAATTAGCACTGTAGCAGAATATTACTCATTTGTTTTTTTTGTTTTTTTTAAAATATGTAAATACACATTTCACCTCTTCTGAATTCTAAAATTCTTTTTGTAAATATAATAAATATGCATCCGAAATCAAAACGGACGGGCCGACAAGGATCCCAGTCCCAATTTTTTTATTTTATAAAAAAAGGTATTTAATAGTCATGAAGTAAGTATTTACTATTTTTTATATAAAAAGTAGACTCTCTTCACTGATCTCTTTCTCTTGTTGTTTTTATGTTTATTTCTTTTTAAAAAACATCCATAAACAAAGGAATTACGTCAAGGCTCAATCAGGTCTAACATAATGTTACTTACTTAAAACCATTCGCTGTTATTTTAATACAGTATGACGTACATATGTTATGATAAATACTTCGGCGAACCGCCGAATCGGCTGGCCAGCTGGCCTGGAATGAAGTCGCGTCATGTCGTCTAAAGACATGTCGGCAGTGTCGTCTAGATGTCGTCTACAGGGGTGTCCATGTCAGTCCATCGTTTTGGGGTTTAGGTGCACCGGTCCAAGCGTACGCATATATTATTGGTGGGTATTCTAAAAAGGTATCTGATTGGTCGTACAATTTTTTTTAGAACACCATGGTGCAGCCTTCGGCCTTGCAGTTCCGACTTGACCGAACGACATGTCACGACCTTGATGATATTCATGATGTCGCGACATGTCGCCTAAAAAAGGAAGTAAAAGACCGTCTCGAGTCGCGACGTGTCGCCAAGCCAAAAGTCATGTTTTAGGGTTTTCTTAGTTCCTTTTTTTTTAAATTCAAGTTTTTGTTTTATACAAAATATAAAACAAATATAAATACATTCACCTTGTGTTCCAGGGCTTCCAAAGTCCCAGCTCTCTACTCTCTACTCTAAAGAGTCTTAGAGTTCTAGACTCTAGACTCTATAGACTCTATTTACTATTGACAAAAAATATAGAAATGCACTTCAAACTTTTGTTTGTGTATTTGAATTTCTAAAAACTCATGGCCCTCTTTTGTTTTTAGACGGCTATGGTGGTCCTTCGCTTTCAGTCATTCACTTTCAATCATTCACTTTCAGTCCTTCACTTTCAGTCATTCACTTTCAGTCATTCACTTTCAGTCATTCACGTTCAGTCGATATGTACTCGACAGTCGACACTCGACACTCCACTCCAGTCACAGTGTAATTAGTGTAATGTACAAGAGGAATAGTAAATTTGGTAAATTTAGTCTTGTACTCGCGTGGGTGTCTCTGTGGTATACTGGTGTGGTACACGCTAGAAAATTCACGCGGGCCGCGGGCACGTGGCCACCGACGACATATGTATCATCATGACGTTGTCAGGAGATCACTTTAACAGTCAACACGCAACATATACTAAAGAGACGACGGACAGCTACACCACAAGGCACAAACTCGCCGACAGGTATTGTTCAATCTATAGTGGCACATACAAGTGTAGCCTGTATATTAAATCATAGTCAACTTAAATTACCTACAAGTTTATATATGATTACATCCATCACATGTGTACACTATGCAAGACACCGAAAAGACCGTCCATACTTTGAATAGATACTCTCCCTGCCAAACTAGCTATTTCGGTAAATCCTGCTATGATGCTTCTTTACAGGTAGGTATACCAATAGGAATAGTCCCAGAATGCACTATGATACTTGTAATTTGCAGCTTTTGGACTAGTACGTTTTAATCACCAATAGTACCGTTAAGGGAATATGGTTTCCAGGGTTGACAATGTATTCGGTACTATTACTCTCTGCCAGATAGAAAGTCGTGTCTGTTGAGACCATCCGCTATGATCCTGCAAAACATAAAGATTTGTACACATGTTTGCCTATATACAATAGGTAACCGAAGAACTAATAAACAGCTATTTGTCTGCACAGCCTGTATCGATACTGCAATATA